CAGTTATACTCTACACTGACTATGTATATTTAAAAAAAAAAGTTTCGCTGGCTGGCAGACATATTCACGTTGTTTACCGCCTGCATTCGTTGTTAAATTTAGTCTAAGTTTGTCACATTCAAATTATTTAAATATGACGCTTTTACATTGTGCCGAATGTGGCCCCAACACGCTTTTCAAACACTACGCGACCGAAAGAAGGAACCGTTTCTAATGTGGCGACGACGTTTTGGGCAACGGCCCTTCCTTAGAGCACAGCCGATTGATGCGACCCAGGTCGCCCTTGCAAAAGAGGCAGTCGACGTCCCGTGTGCATCACCGGTTGATTACATATCCTGGGTAGATGAAGGATAGCACGGAAATAAGAAACAGCTGGAACTGTACCTCAGCTGCTCGCAAATAGCTTTTCAATTGACTCGAAGTATTCTCTCGCCTTGATGTCAGAGATATGATGGAGCGTCCGGGTCACGTAACGTGCTTCCACGCTCTTCCGAGATGGGATCCCGAGATGGAAAAGAATGAGGAGGAGGAGGAGGGGACACATTTAGCAGACGTCAAGGCAGAAACGAAATTGGATTTGGGAAAAATTGAGCGAGTGATTCAAGTGGTCGGGTACATGCGCGCGCGCGTGCATGTGTGTGCGTGCGCGCAGAGTAGATACAAAAAATAGTGCACCTAGCCTGGCACGAGTGCCGCGTGTGGTGGCGTGATGGCCACAAAGTGGGATAAAAGTGGTCGGGCGTGGTTCTAATCACACCACTCTCTCTCTCGTGCGTCCTATGGCCCATGATAGGTGCTCGCTAACAGCCCTTTGCCACGATAGTTCCTCTCGGACTTTGTGCTCAAACTTGCTCTGAGCTGCCTGCTTGCCGTGTTCTTTTGGTAAAGAGCAATTCGCAGCCTCTCCCCTCCCCACCCATGAGAGTGCTCACAACCTCAAGGGCTGTGTCAGCCTGGGCCCTGCATCGCGCGCTTTCAGATGCACTTCTGCAAGCCGTCTGGAACGCTCCTTCTTCCAATATTAGAAGAAAAAAAATATCTGCTCACATGCACTTGCGAGATGATGTACATGGCAGGTCACCGATATATATGCAGTATATGTTCAATAGTGGCGGTGCTGTTGTGCATTTATTTGATTATTGTTGTCTGTCTTGAAATATGTATTTGGCATGGGTGTGCTCCAAATGATTGAGGAATGATTGACAGCGATAGAGGGAACTGAAAGAGGAGGGGTGGGACGGGAAGGGGTGGAGGCGCGGGGGAGGGAAGAGGAAGGGAATGAGCAATGGCGAAGAGGTGAAGCTGTTTAAGAGAGGAACGGAAGGAGGTTAAGCAGAGGGACTGCTTAACGTACAGGGGACGTTGGTTCTTGTCGAGGGGTGGAAGGAGGGAGAAGGACCGAGAAAGAGGAACAGAGAGGAGATTGGGAACGAAAAGAACGAGAGGGGATATGGAAGGAGATGAGGGCGACGAGATGGGCGGGGCAAGGCAGAGGGGGCGGGTCAAGACACCAGGGGGCAGGGAAAGTCACGAGGGGGCGTTGCAAGGCACGAGGGGGCGTTGCAAGTCACGAGGGGGCGTTGCAAGGCACAAGGGGGCGTTGCAAGGCACGAGGGGGCGAGGCAAGGCACGAGGGGGCGGGGTAAGGTCGCGAGGGGGTGGGGTAAGGCCGCGAGGGGGCGGGTCAAGGCCACGAGGGGGCGGGGCAAGCCACGAGGGGCAGGGCAAGGCTACGAGGGGGTGACGACTCTCCGGGCACGCGACGCGAACACACCGCAGATTGTAACAGCTGGATTTTATTTCTGCAAAAAAAACATTTTTTACCAAGTATATATTTTATATCGTAATAGTAGTAGAGCATTATAAAAAATGAAACACCATTTACAAATCGATGTCCCTGTTAGCATTATATTGTGTCGTGTCTTATATAGTTTTGCATCAAAGCAGCACCTATATCTCACAGAGTAGGCCCTTGCCCATAACCATTTGGCAGTTCACCAGAATTTGGTTCAAGCGAACCTGACTGTGCCGATGAGACAATGAATGGCGAAACCGCTCCAGAATTGTGCTTGTGTTGAACTAATGCCGCCGAAAAGGTATGCCCTCCCAGAAGGAAAATCGTGTGGCTGATGGGATGGGTAAAAATACTTTTTTTTTTTCTGGGGGAGGACATGGGAAGGAGGAAACGAATCGTCTTCCGAGCTATTTTGTTATTTCATTTTCTTTACAACCACGCTTGCGCTACCACCGGTGATTCATCACGTTCGTGGACACTGCGAATCCAGACACCGGTTCTAAACAGAACATTACTCTCGCACGGCAGAGCGGGTGGGTAAGTGCTGCCCTCTACTGTGTGTGAACCAGAGGTCACGTGGACAAGCGGGGATCTCAAAGTCAGCTCAGCGATGTCCGCTTCCACGGGTCCACTCGACGTAGACTAGAGGTTTACTTGAAGAAGCGGGCATCTCAGAGATGGCTCTGCGATGTCCTCCTCTGCGGCTCCATTCTCAAAACAACGCGGAGGTTCGTGCTGCCACGCGACGTTCCCGAAGGGATTCTCCGTGCCCGTGACGCCGCCGGTGGCGGCGCGATCGGGGACGAGAACGACGGAAAATGATCCCAGGAGAGTAATTGACAGCGATCGATGTACAGAGGCCGTAACGTGCGGAGAGTGGAGAGCTTCCTGGCCTGCACACAAACATCGGACGTGACGCCGGTGACAGCGACAGTGAAAGCAGAGAACGGATCGGGGTAGGGGGTGAGGGGTTATTGCCACGGGACCGTAGCATCACTCTCATACGTAACGCATCTTATACCGGGTCCCTATTTGTGGTTGTTTGGGGGGTCAGGCCAAACGCAATGGCGGTTTTTGCGCCGTCAAGCCCTCCAATACCCGACGAGAAGATCGCCGCGTGATGACGTCGTCGCTATCGGCGAAACTTCGTCACGCGTCTCGGTCGCCAGACGTCTCGAGACGACAGTCACGAGGGGCAGGAGGGGGATGAGGATGGGGAGGAGGAGGGGGAGAAGGGGTAGGCGGAGCTGTATCGGTCAGAAGTTGCTCAATGCATCGCCGTGTGCGTCAATAATTGACGTCGTCTGTTTCAAGGTGACAATCTCGTCGGGTGGTGGAGGGCCACTGAGAATTTTTGGCATAAAATTCCTGACACGTGGCCTTGACCCCAACACAAATGTGGATGTTTGTACTGGTAATGGAAACCTACGAGTTAAGTTAAATTCGTATACCTCTTTTAGCGAATAAATATAAAGCAGACAAAGTTATACCTGAATTGATTAAACTCGGAGCACACATTTACAAAACAAACAAAAAACTCGTGGCAGAGATCGAATAACAAAAATATAACTGTTGGCAACGATAGAAAAATCACAGGGTTACTCATGAACGCTGCCGCGTAACATCGGGGAGCGGTGGCGGAGCGGTTAGCGCACTGCGCTACGAACACAATGGGCCGAGTTCGATATCTGAACGTCCTGAGCTCGCCCAGAACACATTCAGATACCTTACACTGACCAGTGCGGGTGAAGTATGGTCATACGACGCCCTTGGCATGATTATTGGGGGGCAGGGGGGGATGGTCGCGTTTTAAGTGTATTATGTGAACTAAAAAAAGTAACTGAGTGGGTGAGCGAGCGGGTGGGTGAGCGGGTGAATGAATAGGTGGGTGAGTGAATGAGCCGTTAGCTGAGTCAGTGAGTAAGCGGGTGGGTGTGTGGTTGGGTGATTGAGCAGGCGATTAGTTGTCTGAGTGGATGATTGAGCGGGTGGGTGAGTGGGTGAGTGAGCGGGTGGATGAGTGGTTGAGTGAGCGGGTAGGTGAGTGGGTGAGTGAACGGGTGGGTGAGTGGGTGAGTGAGCAGGTGGGTGAGTGGGTGAGTGAGCGGGTGGGTGAGTGGTTGCGTGATTGAGCGAGCGATTATTGTCTGAGTGGATGATTGAGCGGGTGGGTGAGTGGGCGAGTGAGCGGGTGGGTGAGTGGGTGAGTGAACGGGTGGGTGAGTGGGTGAGTGAGCGGGTGGGTGAGTGGGTGAGTGAGCGGGTGGATGAGTGGGTGAGTGAGCGGGTAGGTGAGTGGGTGAGTGAACGGGTGGGTGAGTGGGTGAGTGAGCGGGTGGGTGAGTGGGTGAGTGAACGGGTGGGTGAGTGGGTGAATGAGCGGGTGGGTGAGTGGGTGAGTGAGCGGGTGGGTGAGTGGGTGAGTGAGCGGGTGGGTGAGTGAGCGGGTGGGTGAGTGGGTGAGTGAGCGGGTGGGTGAGTGGGTGAGTGAGCGGGTGGGTGAGTGGGTGAGTGAGCGGGTGGGGGGCACCGCGCTGAGACTGTTCCCCAAGCGACCTCCCCCCCACAAAAATGAGAACATCAATAACCGTGCTGCATAAAATAACAAAAGCAAAGAATAGCAACAACAACAACGACCTCCACACCACAGGAGGAGGAGGATATGTGTGACACGGACCAGAATCGGACATCCTGGATTCGGATTGCGTGGGGTGATCGGTGGGATGAGCGGTGCGGTGATTGCTTCGGTGTGTGGAGCCGAATCCTCGGTGGGCGCACAATGACCGCATTTTCCCACGCGGGTGACACAGTGGCGTTCCAGCTGTTGGTGAATGTGTCCGGGTAAAGAGGGACAAGAGTGGAGGGTCAGGGGAGGGTGTGGGTGTGTGAATGTGTGTCTGGAGTGTGTGTGGGGAGCGGTAGTGGACCGGTTTGTGCGCTGTACTACGAACCCGGTGACCCGAGTTCGATTCCCGCTCACGACCAACGCCAGTGACGATTACCTGAACCGGTTCTGGGCCTCCCCTAGGTCGGCTCAGTCTCAAACGAGTACCTGATGCGGTGTGTAAACATCGCCACTGGGAAGACAAAGGTGGTAGGGCGTGGTGCTGGTCACCCACCCCCTCATGTACTGTGCCGGCCTACATAAGTGCTCGCTAACAGCACTTGCCCCAACAGCCTCTGTAGGCTCTACGGGGAGGGGGGTTATTTTTGCGTGTGGTGTGTATGTGTGTATGTGCATGTCCGGTGTGGTGTGTGGAGGAGGCTGTGGGTTGTAGACAAGCATTTATCCAGCAGTGGAGAGACCATAGCTGATGATGCCATCCAATTAACAACCTGCGATTAAACCGGGTTTTCAAGCGCAGTGAGCTGGTTATCTCAGCCCGGTCACCAATGACTACGCCAACAACACGATTCCGTCTCATTCGAGTTGTGTCCTGCGATGAATTTCCAGCTCTGAGAGTCACCAACGTTCGGTTTGGCACGTAACGAACTCTCCACGGCCACGTCACAAGCTGCCGCGCAGAACCCAGAGCGCTACAGGGCTCAAAGCGGTCGTGACTCAACTCTTTGGACGGCCGAGCGAGCCTCGATTTTGGCCGACCGGACCGCGACTCACTCTTTTCAAACCGGCACATCCGAGCTGAGCCAGCCCGGGAGCACTCGTGGCACGGGTGGTTTCCCATTGCCTATTTGTTGAGCCGGAAACCAAACTGTGCTACGCCGGCTCGGGGGGCCGAGCGGGGCCACGGAGAGGGCTCGCGATGCGTTGGTCAAGTGCGACGCAAGCGGCGCGGCTCGGTTCACGCAGTGGAAAAACATCCCGGAGCGTCCCGAGCCGCGCTGGCCCCGGCTCGTCGCATACGGGAGGAGGAGGAGGAGGAGGAGGAGGAGAGAGAGAAGGTGCGGGGTCCGTGGCTGCGGAGTTGCGTCGGTGGGGATCTCGCACAGGGTCTCTCCGGGACTCGTGGTCCTCCATGAGATTGCTCCACGAGCCTCCTCCACGAATCTCCTCCATGACCCCGTGGGTTCACTTCCCGGCGAGGTACCTGCCCAGCGTGTCCTCAATATCCGAGAACGACGGCCTCAGGTTGGTGCTGGTGGACAGACACGCAGGGAGAGAGGGAGGGAGCGAGGAAGAGGGAAGGAGAGGGGAGAGAGAGAGGGAGAAGTGAAGAGAGCATCAATTATCAAGTGTCCCGATAATTTGACACAAGTTGTAAAGACGTGTGCAATCGATGGCATGTTCACGTTACCAGCCGATCCATCGCCCGACAATCTGGTCGATCCGATCGATTGCAACGACGTCACGTTGGTTGTACATGATTGGTACAAAATAGGTTGCATCAACTCCAACATCATCATCATCATCGTCAGCCATCATCAATCCACTGACGTACCACGTCCTCGCCGATCAGCCACCACCTCTCCCAGCCATGCAACGAAACGATCCGCCCAGCTCCTGCTGTACGCTCGAGGAGCCGATTCCACCGTTCCATTTCCTCCACGCGATCCCTTCCTCGGCCTACGCTCCGTTATTATCCTCGACTGTCGGCTATCATCATCCCTTCTGACCGCGACATGTCCTGCCCACCGCGACTTCAATGAGACGGGGTCATCGCTCAATCAATCACGTGCTTCGTGTTTAGCTGGCACGAGGTCTTATCGGCTACACAATGTGCCTGAAATAGTTGCATCAGCATCGTGATGCGTGCACTTTGGCCGGAGCAGCCTCTGAGGAGTCTCCGGTTTGCTCTTTCACCGATAAAAACGCAAAAGTTGTTTTTGTAACGTTCACGAAATATAAGCGGTCGATTATTTATGTCAGGCAATGATCAACTCTCCTCCTTCTTGTGGGTCAATCATGGCCGCGATTCCATTCAGGAATCACCTCTGGTTCGTTTAATTCACTGCGGAGAGAATGTCACACTCGTGGTAAGGGTTCACAGCCAGCGTCAAGATTCCCGATTGCTGGCCCAGGCCGCACGACGATCTGGCCAAGTTTGTGTTGTAAATCCCTCCACCGCCACTACCATCCGAAGTCAATGAAAATCCATTAATTCAGACTCACTTCCTGGGTCTTGTCCTGAAGACGCCGGGCGCGGTTTCAAGTGGAGCATCCCGAATCCAATTGCTGCTCAATGTGGCTATGAGATATGTTGCCTAACCCTAAACCACGGCGAGTGAGTGAGTGGTTGAGTGTGTTTATTATTGTTATTATTCACGTGTGGGAGGACACCGGAGCACCCGGAAAAACCCACGCCGTGTGCGAGGGGGCAACGCTCTAGCCCCCACGTACAGATGGCAACAAATGGCGATTAGCCCACTTGCTGTACCGCCTCATCTTGGCGAGCTTGGGTACGACACTTAATCGATGCCCATGGATAGAGGGGAGTTTCACAGCCCATTTGTGTGTGATCCACCAATCCTCGCTGTTGCCTCCACACAACGTTGGGTTACTAACTCCAGGCAGCCGCGTTCAGCAGCAGCGGAGCCACCACCGCCGCTCAGCAGTCACGAATGTTGCTGCACAGAAAAGTTTCCGGAAATGGCCGTGTTTTTTTAAGGCACAATTGCACAAGGGCGATTGTCCGAAACGTCATCCGTTTGATATGATTGTTACTTGTAAATCCGCGGCGCGACTGGCGAATGTCCCGTGTTGCTGCTGCTGCTGCTGTTTGTTGTTGTTGTTGCTGTTTGTGCTTCATGAGCACCACTGCCGACGCAGCAGCGCCACGATAATGAGAGCGCAACTCCGAGAGCGCTGGAGTGGGCACAGGCGGTGAGCGGAGAGGACTCGGCACCGATTGATGCCAGCGCACTGGGACCCGGGCATCGTGAGGCGGAGCGCCGTTGGGGGGGGGGGGTAGTGCGGGGGGTAGTGGAGGGGTAGTGGGGGGGGAATGGGGGCTGAATGTTTGTGCGGTTAAAGTGCCGGAGTGCGAGATAAGAAGTCGCAATGTAACGCGCGCGCACGCGCAGATTTTTAAACGCGCACACGCCCGTACACACACATACGCACACACACACACACGTACACACACACACACGTACGCACACATACACAAACTCACACACAAACTCGCACTTGTGCTCATACGCGCACACACGCACAGGCGCGTCTCTGAGGCCGTTGTCATGGCCCAACCTCTCTGCGTCTGGCGGCAGCGTTGGCTCTGCGAGTGACACAGATGGACAGACTCGTTGTGTTTCAAACGTTCTCAGCGTTCCCAACGTTCACCCCACGTGACCAAACCCCAACACGGCCGTCACTGCTCTCTGCGCAGTGAGCCCTTGCGCCGACGTCACGTCCCACCATAGTTTGCGAATTTAAATGTATAATAATAATAATATTCGTATTGATTTGAAGCTTTCGTGACTGCAGGAATCCATACTCTTTGGTTCTTTCGGTAAAGTCATGTTATTTTATACCTACGTGACTTTACCGAAAGAACCAAAGAGTAATAATATTCGTACTTTAGTTATCCAGCCAATCCAGCCACACTGAGTCATAGGACTCTTTTCTAGAAGGGGTATGCGTTTGTGTTTTTATTTGTAAGATATTTTCAGCCGACTCGTGATGAGTCTGTTCATCATACACGTGGGAGGAAACCGGAATACCTGGAGGGGGGAACGCTCTATCCCCGCACCCGAATCAACATCGCCACCTGGGTGGCAATGGCACCCGGGCGTGGTGCTGGCCACCCACCCCGTCATGTGCCATGCCGGCCTTCATAGGTGCTACCCCGCCAACAGCACTTGCCCCAACAGTCTGTTAAGGCTGGACGGAGGATCTTAATTTTTGTGCTGGTGGGTGGTGGTTCACTCATTGATTACTCCGCTCGTATTGAAGACTCGGTTCGATCATACTCGTCTCATCCACCACCACTTGCTTGTGCTGCATCAACGCTGGTGAAATGTTGCGCTCCCGGAAGGCCGCGGGGCCAATGGGCTGTGTAAGACATGAGCGGACTGTATTCTCTCTGTGGCGAGACGGACGTGAAGGAGGCGTGCTGTCTGAGGGTAATGGGCCTACTCCTCCACGTCGGTGGCTCAAACGAAGGGAGTGAATGCGGCTTACTCGGTGTTCCACGTCTTGAGCATGAGCTCGTAGATGGCTTCAGGGCATCCCGGGGGCTTGTCCAGCCTCTTCTCGGCCTTCAGGAAGTCCAGCAGGACGGCTGCCTTGAAGCCCTGCGAGCAAGAGGCCAGAGCACATTCGCCACAACCACACCACCACCACAACATTCGTCACAACCACACCACCGCCACAACATTCGTCACAACCACACCACCACCACAACATTCGTCACAACCACACCACCGCCACAACGGTTGTGTGGTTGTGACAGGTGGTGGCGGGGGAGTGGTGCGGGGGCAGTGACCAGCACCACGCCTGGCCGCCTTTGTCTCCCTAGTGGCGATGTTTACACAACACACCAGGTACTCATTTGAGGCTGAGTCGACCTAGGAGAGGCTACAGGTCCAGTTCAGACAATCACTGCGTGACCGCTCCCTACACGCATGTTCGCGCGCACGTACACATGCGCGTCCCTCACCTTGTAGGGCCGGTCCCCGTAGGTGAAGGTCTCCCACATGGTGACCCCGAAGCTCCACACGTCGCCCTTGCTGGAGAACTCGAAGTGCTGGATGCACTCGGGCGCGTACCACTTGAGCGGCCACTTGCCCGACACCTTTGCCTGCAACCGCACGGAGCGCCCCGCGTCAACCGCCACCATCTATCCGCTGCTGGATGGAGGTCACCGGGGACCGCGGCCACTCGCGCGGCTCCTTGCGGGGAGTTTGCGGTTGGAATACGGCTTCGGTGCGTGCATCGGCCTACTTCCCTCGCGGTAGACGTTAGAGTTCCCGAGATGCTGTGAGAAGATTGGGCCTTCGCTGACAAGTGTGACGGTCCAAAATTTGGCAAATTTGAAAAAGACACCGCAAGTGAACTTAATTAGGCTGACACATAGCAGCAGCAGCAGCACCCATCGCCTCTTACTTAAAAAAATACTTGGCAGGACCCTCCGGAACAAGGGTTGAGACTCAGTGATGCTTTCCTGGGCTAACAAGCAGAATCATTGTTTTATCGACCCTGGAGAGCTGACGATGATGGACTGAGTTCGATCCCCCAATGGGGCTTTGACCTAACGAGCGACTCGCTCCACCGCTGAACCATCTGGAGGGGCAGTAGATGCTGCCCACCAGCGACGGCCACGGCCCAACATAAACAAGTGATGAGGGGTCAGCGTTGGCCGCGCCGCGGCTCACCTTGTAATAGCTCTCTCCGGCCGCCAGGGCCTTGGAGAGGCCGAAGTCGCTGATCTTGGCGTAGCGCTCGCTCACCAGCAGCACGTTACGTGCCGCCAAGTCGCGGTGCACGAAGCTGCGCTCCTCCAGGTACTTCATGCCGTCTGATACCTGGTGCATCAGCTCCACCAGGTGATTCGATGACATCGTCTCTCTGCCGAGCGACGGGGGAGGGTTGAGGAGGAGGGAGGAGTAGAACAAGAACATGGAGGGAGAGCGTGAGGAAGACGAGACGGGGGAGGACGGAGGAGGCAGGAGAAGAAAAGAGGAAGGCATGGAGAACAATGAGATAGAGGATGAAGGTAGGAGGCAGGGAGGAGGAAGGACGAATGACGAGTCACTTCGCGCTGCACTACATGGTGCCCCGGCGTGCCACCTGGCGTAGACGGCCCCTGTGGTCAGCGCACGGTTGGCATCCCGAACGCGTGGCCCACGTGGTTCGTACGGCGTCAGCGGTGGGATCACCGACGTGGGTGATGGCGCAGCGTGCTGCTACTGGCTGGGGCTGGCCCCATCTGGCCACGACTCGCCCTCTGTGAACCCTACTGTGCCAGGGGCGGTGCACCGATTTCATCGTTTGAACATCTCCCACGGAACGGAGCCATGGCCGCCGAGGCCCGAAAGTCGGAAACCGCCCAACGGTGACGCCGCGCTGTCGCGTCGGGACCCCCGGACTGCGCTGTCGAGCCACGCCACGCCGCGTCACGCCGCGCCCCATCACGCACTTGTGCTCCTTGAGGTACTTGTTGAGGGGGCCCAGGTAGGCGACCTCCATGACGAGCATGAGCGCCTCTCCCTCGCACACCCCGAACATCCTCACGATGTACGGATGGTCCAGCTGGTGCATCAGCTCCGCCTCCTTCATCAGCTCAGTCTTCAGCATCTCCTGGTTCTCCACGGGCTTGAGGACCTTCACGGCCACCTGCACCTCCTTCCTGCACGCCGGAGAGGTGGCGAGACGTGGGGAGGGCACGGGAGAGGGTGAGCAGGTGGGAGACACGGGGACCCGCGCACCGCACAAGCACACAGACCAAGATTTCCCCATCATAGACTTAACAGACTGTTTGGGCAAGTGCTGTTAGCGAGCGCCTATGAAGGCCAGCACGGCATACGAGAGGAGGGGGGGGGGGGTGTGGCCAGCACCACGCCCGGCTGCCTATGTTTCCCCAGTGCTGATGTTTACTCCACACCGCACCAGTGTAGTCAACCTGGGGGGAGGCCCAGGTCTGGCCATAAGCAGAAATCGAACTCAGGTCGCCGGGTCCGTAGCACGGTGCGCTAACCGCCGTGCCACCGCTCCACGCATGCACACCCTCGCCAGGGCTACAGGCACGTGCTCGCGCTCGCACGCCCACACTGGTGCCCGCGCGGGTGCACAAGGGCCCTACCTCTGGAACTTGTAGATGCCGCGCAGGACGGCGCCGAAGTTGCCGGAGCCCAACTGGTTGCCGCAGTCGAGGGTGAGGCGCTCACGCTGCAGGAACATGCCGCGTCCTCGCACCTCCTCGGGGTCTTCGTACAGGCTGTTGTACACCGGCGTCTCGTGCGGCAGCGCGCGGCGGTTGATCTCGTACAGGTTCCGCCAGTTGTCTGCCCGGTGACCGTGTCGCGACAACCGTGAGCCCGGCACGTTGCGGTCAAACCATTTCCTTATTATTAGTTTTTGTTACGTTCCGTAAAAATAATGCATTCCAATCGCGCTGTGGCTATCTTGGCATGGTGGTAAGGAATCCGCTAGTAGGTCTCCCGGAGTGCCGGGTGGCTTCATACGACCACGGCGGTGGTGCTGGCCACGCGATGGGAGAATCTCGTGGAGTGGCGCCGAGGGTGATGCGGGGGCGTGGCGGGGGGGGGGGGGTGATGGAGGAGGCACGGGAGGGGGAAGGGGGGGGGGGGTGCACGTCGGGGGTGACGGCCAGAGTAGCCATCGGCCAAAACCACAGCAGTTGAGTCTTACATTTTCAGATTTTGAATGAGTAATGAATGAATGAAAATTACATAGAGAATTAATGAGAATGTATTGAATAATGAATGATCGATTCATATTTGTTAATGTAGAATGAATTATCAACGAGTAAACATTTTATCTATTAAAATATTTTACCCAGAGATTCCTTCATAATAAAAATCCCGTGTGTCCAGGATGTCAAGGGAATGAGGAATGAAAGAGGTGAGGAATTGAATGTCGTTACCTTGGAAGTCATATTCTCCACCTCTTGCCTGCGGAGAGACGAAGCGGAGGTGAGAGTGAGACACATGTGTGTACGCACACGTATGTGGGTCTACGGGTCTATGTGTGGGTTTATATGACTCTATGTGAGTCTATGGGTCTCTGTGGGTCAATACAATTTGTTGTAGATTCCCATAGCATTTACATCTCACCTGCAGTGACACAGCGGACATCTTTTGTGGACAGAGAGGCAGTCAGCCACACACTCGCCATGAATGGAAATGGCCAATCATCCCAACGCAGCAGGACCCTCTTGACAAAAATTATTGAGGAGCGTGAAGCTTTCCAAGGTCAATTGCGTTGTTGTTGTCGTTGTTATTCCAAAGTGCTGATAGCTCAACAAGGCAATGTCACTGCTGTGTGCGACCCCATTGTGATATTCCCAGTTGCCTCTCAATGTTTTGCTGGATGAAGGCCTTCTCCTGTTCCCACTGCGCCACCCTGCCGTGCCACACGCTGATTGGCTGAGTGGGATGGCTGGGTATCTGGGTGGGTGGCTAGCTGGGTGGCTGGGGTGGCTAGGTATCTGGGTGGGTGGCTGGGTAGATGGCTGGGTGGCTGGGTAGATGGCTGGGTGGCTGGGTGGCTGGGTGGCTGGGTGGCTGGGTAGATGGCTGGGTGGCTGGGTAGATGGCTGGGTGGTTGTGTAGATGGCTGGGTAGCTGAGTGGCTGGCTGGGTGGCTGGCTGGGTGGCTGGCTAGGTGGGTGGATGGGTAGCTGAGTGGCTGGCTGGGTGGCTGGGTGGCTGGCTGGGTGGCTGGGTAGATGGCCGGGTGGTTGGGTGGCTGGCTGGGTGAGTGGGTGAGGCGACAGGCAGACTCACCGGAGCCGGTGCTCGCCGGAACAGCGGGAGCGAGTAGCGCAGATGCGTCATCCATCGGCGCGGCTGTGGGGATGGCGGTGCCGAGTGGCGGTGCTGCGTGGGAACGACACGCGGCACAAACAATACCACCTCCATCATCATCAGCAGCACCAGCCAGGATCAATCCACTGCTGGATGAAGGCCTCGCTCCCCAAGCCGCTGCCACCTTTCAGAATTCTGCGAAGTGACAATCTGCCCAGCGCCCGCTCTGCGCGTCACCACGAGCTGATTTCACCACTCCGTCTTCGCGGTGGATTGACCCCTCTCAACTTTCACTCCGTTATTAGTCTCGACCATCATCGTCCTCACCAGCTGCCCAAGCCCTATTCACTTCTCCCTCCACGTTTGGATGATGTCACAAACTGCGTATGTTCTCTAACCAACGTGTTATTTTCGCTCTCTCGTACACGTGCACAAAGGCAGAGCCCTCCTCCTACTGCTGCTGTCACCCGGTTCCCACCGTACTGCTGCAGTGGATAGAATTCAGAGCGAAGCGGCAGTTGTGGTGATTGTTGATCCTGAACTCGCTGATTCACCGGCGGCCGGATGGCCTCCTTCTCACTCGAATTTCGCTACTGCCATGGTTACTGTTCTCATGAATTTCAGTCATTGATTCCTCCACCCGCGTTCTGGACTCGGGTTACGCGACTCTGATTGTTCCATCCACATTGTGATCAAGCACCACCACCACAGTTCTCAACCACTCACTCACCCACGCACTCACCCACTCATTGAACCCACTCAACCGACTCACCCACACCTCTGCGTGCTATTACATCGACAGTGTCTCCAGCCTACGAAATTGGTGGTGGTGATGGGTTGTCTGATCAGCTACACCCAGAGTTGTAAATTACATGATGCAGATGTTGGCGTAGACGATGATGATGGCGGCGGTGGTGATGGCGGTGATGGTGAAGGTGATTCAAACGCAGTTATACAATGCACAACACAAAGCGCACATCAGAGTCGCGGTGCTCAACGCGAGCTCCGTGGCGAGCGGTCGAGCGAAGAAGCCACGTGTGGCGCGGGCGTTGATGGGGGCCGGGGGCTGGGGGGAGAAAATGCGCCAGGTCTGTACGTTAAATACCCAATTAGAGTGCCGTTAATTGAACCGGCTCCCCGGGCAGAAAAAAACGCCGCATTTGCATAATCCCCCGACTGGGCCCCCACTCGCGAGGCCTCTGCGCTGTGGCACCGCGGTCAAAGGGCGCCGCACGGAACAGCGCGGAATATGTCAAATTAATTGGGTGATTTTAATTCATTTCCCCCGCTAATGTAGCCGGGTGCAACGCTGTGGGGGGATTTTGAGACTGGAATTTGAATGCGGGTCCCTCTCATCTCACTCCACTCCTCTCCACGCACTCTCCTGCCTCTCCCCTCTCATCTCACTCTCCTCCCACCCACCAACGCACCAACCCACCCGCCCACCCCGTCTGTCGTGGGGGTCCCAGAGTCCTGAGCACCCCCACCACCCCCACCACCCCCACCACCCCCAACCACCCCCATCGATCGGTGCTCGAGCCCGGCGAGGCGGCGGTGGCGTCGTGTCGTACGTGACATTTAGCGGCGCTGATGAAGGGCGCGTTTGTTTATTTATAAAATGTTTTTTTTTAATTGCGTTTCGTTTGCATCACGGGAAATGAAAATTTGACACTGACCTTCGACAAAATATGTAAATTGGCTCCGTGCGTTGTGTGGTTTTTTTGTTGTTGCATATATAAGAAACGTCGCTGTCTGCAACAACTGCAGGAATAACAATAAGAACGATCATGAATTAATCAAGGCCACTTGCCAAATTGACTCTCGGATCAAGGCCTCCCCACACGGCGTCAGCCCGGAGTGCCGTTGGCCCACAATGCAACACCACGGATTGGTCACGAACCGCTTCGGACGCCACGGGCCACTGATATTAGCCGTGCATGGGAATGCAACTCGGGTCGCTGGGTTTCGTAGCGCGGTGTGCTCACCACTGATCCTTGCTTGAACTAACCGCTCATCATGGCCTCTATCTCGCTGCAATGCAGAAGGGCCATTTACATTTTTTAGGTCAGTGATGCTGTCACACATGGCCCAGCAATTGACGTCACGGGATCTTTAACATCCACTGTGACGCAGTCAGGGCGCTGCACAATGCGGAGTCGACCAGAAGCCAACATCTATCCATCGCTTCCTTCCTCCTGCAAAATCCACAGATGTTGCGTCATCAGTACCTGACCCATATCTAACGGAGAGGGTCCTTGCCCATGAACATCTGGGGATTCACCAGCATTGGTTCGATGCGAGTGCGTGTGTATGCCTCTGTGTGTGTGTGTCTCTGTGTGAGTGTGTGTGTCTGTTTGTGAGTCTCTCTGGGTCTCTGTGAGTCTCTCTGGGTCTCTGTGTGAGTCTCTCTGGGTCTCTGTGTGAGCCTCTCTGTCTCTGTGTGAGTCTCTCTGGGTCTCTGTGTGAGTCTCTCTGGGTCTCTGTGTGAGTCTCTCTGGGTCTCTGTGTGAGTCTCTCTGGGTCTCTGTGTGAGTCTCTCGGTCTCTGTGTGAGTCTCTCTGGGTCTCTGTGTGAGTCTCTCTGGGTCTCTGTGTGAGTCTCTCTGCGTCTCAGTGTGAGTCTCTCTGGGTCTCTGTGTGAGTCTCTCTGGGTCTCTGTGTGAGTCTCTCTGGGTCTTTGTGTGAGTCTCTCTGGGTCTCTGTGTGAGTCTCTCTGGGTCTCTGTGTGAGTCTCTCTGGGTCTCTGTGTGAGTCTCTCGATCTCTGTGTGACTCTCTCTGGCTCTCTGTGTGAGTCTCTATGGTCTCTGTGTGAGCCTCTCTCTGGGTCTCTGTGTGAGTCTCTCGGTCTCTGTGTGAGTCTTTCTGGGTCTCTGTGTGAGCCTCTCTGGGTCTCTGTGTGAGTCTCTCGGTCTCTGTGTGCGTCTCTCTGGGTCTCTGTGTGAGTCTCTCTCTGGGTCTCTGTGTGAGTCTCTCGGTCTCTGTGTGAGTCTCTCTGGGTCTCTGTGTGATCTCTATGGTTCTCTATGTGAGTCTCTCTGGGTCTCTGTGTGAGTCTCTCTGGGTCTCTGTGTGAGTCTCTCTGGGTCTCTGTGTGAGTCTCTCTGCGTCTCAATGTGAGTCTCTCTGGGTCTCTGTGTGAGTCTCTCTGGGTCTCTGTGTGAGTCTCTCTGGGTCTCTGTGTGAGTCTCTCTGGGTCTCTGTGTGAGTCTCTCTGGGTCTCTGTGTGAGTCTCTCTGGGTCTCTGTGTGAGTCTTTCTGGGTCTCTGTGTGAGTCTCTCTGGGTCCCTGTGTGAGTCTCTCTGGGTCTCTGTGTGAGTCTCTCTGGGTCTCTGTGTGAGTCTCTCTGGGTCTCTGTGTGAGTCTCTCTGGGTCTCTGTGTGAATCTCTCTGGGTCTCTGTGTGATCTCTGTGGTTCTCTGTGTGAGTCTCTCTGGGCCTCTGTGTGATCTCTATGGTTCTCTGTGTGAGTCTCTCTGGGTCTCTGTGTGGGTCTCTGTGGGTCTCTGTGTGAGTCTCTGGGTCTCTGTGAAAGTTTCCGATTCATATGTGGTGTGTATTAAAGAGTTTTTACGTCACTCTAGGACCCACATCTAACAGAGAGAGGGCCCTTGCCTATAAACACATGACAGTTCATCAGCACTGGTTCCGTCACGTGAGTCCCGAATTTGGTCCAGAGTTTTCTTGTATTCAACCAATGCTGTTATACTCCTATAAAGCCATGTGGCTGATGGGATGTGGAAAAAAAAAACTTTTATCTATTTTTATGTGGAGGGACAGATATGGGAAGGAAGAGGCGAACTGCCTGCGTCGTTATTTTCTCCAAAATTCACGACTCTTGTTGTTGTTGTGTTCACCCTGCATGCTCTTACACGCACGGGAATTACTGAACACAAGGGTTCATATTAAGAGGTCATTCAATATCGGGGCAAAACATCTGTCCGTTGGTCTATATTTAATATTGAAATAAATTATGACAGATGGTTGTTCTCGTCTGTCTGTGTGCGTCTGTATGTCTGTGTGAGTGGGTGGGTGAAGCAGCAGCGTAGTGGTCGGTGCACTGCGCTAGGAACGTTACGGATATCCGAACTCGTCCTGGAGGCCCAGACCAGTTGATTATGGTTAGCGGTAGATCTGGTACAAGTGGCTAGTTGGTTAGGGTTAGCGGTAGATCAAGTACAAGTGGCTAGTTGGTTAGGGTTAGCGGTAGATCTAGTACAAGTGGCTAGTTGGTTAGGGTTAGCGGTAGATCTAGTACAAGTGGCTAGTTGGTTAGGGTTAGCGGTAGATATAGTACAAGTGGCAAGTTGGTTAGGGTTAGGGTAGAGCTAGTGTTAGTGGCTAGTTGGTTAGGGTTAGCGGTAGATCTAGTGCAAGTGGCTAGTTGGTTAGGGTTAGCGGTAGATCTAGTACAAGTGGCTAGTTGGTTAGGGTCAGCGGTAGATCTAGTACAAGTGGCTAGTTGGTTAGGGTTAGCGGTAGATCTAATACAAGTGGCTAGTTGGTTAGGGTTAGTGGTAGATCTAGTACAAGTGGCTAGTTGGTTAGGGTTAGCGGTAGAGCTAGTGTTAGTGGCTAGTTGGTTAGGGTTAGCGGTAGATCTAGTACAAGTGGCTAGTTGGTTAGGGTTAGCGGTAGATCTAGTACAAGTGGCTAGTTGGTTAGGGTTAGCGGTAGATCTAGTACAAGTGGCTAGTTGGTTAGGGTTAGCGGTAGATCTAGTACAAGTGGCTAGTTGGTTAGGGTCAGCGGTAGATCTAGTACAAGTGGCTAGTTGGTTAGGGTTAGTGGTAGATCTAATACAAGTGGCTAGTTGGTTAGGGTTAGTGGTAGATCTAGTACAAGTGGCTAGTTGGTTAGGGTCAGCGGTAGATCTAGTACAAGTGGCTAGTTGGTTAGGGTTAGTGGTAGATCTAGTACAAGTGGCTAGTTGGTTAGGGTTAGCGGTAGATCTAGTACAAGTGGCTAGTTGGTTAGGGTTAGGGTAGAGCTAGTGTTAGTGGCTGGTTCGCGAGTTGGTGAGGGTTAGAGCAAATTTAAGTTGGCTAGGTGGTTAGGTTTAGGCGTAGCATTATACAGGGTGCTTAAATAATTATATGGGACTATTTTTTTTAAATGGAAAAATAATTGATAATACACTGTAACGTGATAAGAAATGCATGTTAATAAGCTTCAAAAAGTCAAAGAGTCTCCCACTTGTTCGCCATCATTGTCAACGCGTGCCTGGAATCTTCTCCAGGTGGTCTCCAGAGCCGGGAGGCAGCAGCACATTTCTTGCACTATTGTTGCAAATTCCGGAAGTGTTAACATTTTTTTGAAGCACCCTGTATATCGCCGCACCCAGCACTCTACGTCCAGTGTACCTCTGTCTCACTATGGACTCTGGTTCCTACCAGTCCTAACCAGCGACTCGGTACTTATTCTACACCTGGCGGATGACAATTGCCGTGGACCTCCCCATTGGCGTCGAGGAGGAGTCGTGTGCCGCTGGGATCGCCAGAAGAACAACATTGTGGGTAATCTCCGGATGCTCCGGTTCCCTCCCACGTGCATAATAAACACACGCGTCAAATTATTATTATTGTTGTTAGCATTGTTATCACACCACATCCAGAATGCCCCCTTTTCGCTATGGCCAGGATTACTCGTCACTTGCCACTTACTCAAAAATTAATTTCCATACCGGCTGCACACCGCGCCCAGAATCCGCCCCTCCTCCCCGCCTCTGTCGCTGTGGACTGCGGCCACTCTGAGTCATTGTGCCACCTACTCGGGTCCAGCAGCTACCCGGAAAGTCGCGAGCGAGCTAGGAGGGGGGGGGGCGGGGGGGGGGGGTGTTGAGCGGTGGGGGATTGGGGGGGAAGTGCGAGACCTCGGCGTGGGCCCCGAGGTGGACGGGCTGGCTGGGAGCAGGCGCTCGTGGGCACGCGTGGCGCGGGAGATAAGCGCGGCGGTGGTGGTGACGGTGGTGACGGTGGTGGTGCCAACGAATCAATGAGGGTGTGAGTTGGGAAGGTTCTGTGCGTGCGAGTTTTGGTGTGTAATGAGTGTGTTATGTGTTGTGTGCATGGTGCGTTGCGTGATGTGTGGAGAGCGGTAATGTAGTGGTTAGTGCACTTCGCTATGATTCCCGCTCAGGACCAATAACAGTGATAGAGACTTTTTTAAATTGGTCCTGGGCCTCCCCTCGGTCGACTTGGTTTCAAATTAGTACTTGGTGTGTACAAAATGAACACCAGGGAGACAAAGGTGGCCGGGCATGGTACTGACAAAGCCACCCCTTTTATGTGCCATACCGGCCTTCATAGGCGCTCGCTAACAGCACTTGCCCCAACTCTCTGCTAAATTAAAAGCTATACGGGGGACCTTTGTGTATATTGTGGTATGATGATGTTCACTGTTATTTGTGTCCATGTCATCACCATCAGATACAATACAACTGCATGTGTGTAAATGTGAGGTTGTGGATGTAACAATGGATATCTGTGTATGTACATTCGTGTGTCTGCGTGGGTTTCAACATGTGGCGTGCGGGTGAGGTTGTGGGTATGTGTTTGTGCGCGCATGTGTGTGTATGAGGTTTGCGTTGGCTGGTCCACGTAATCCGCATGCCCAAGCAGCTTCTGTTTGGCCGGATAGAGGGGGCTAAACGGGTAAAGAGATGGACTGATGCGTTACGGGAGGATGTGGAGCTTATCGGACATGCTCATGAACGGAAGAGCGGCCTCTATGGAGGAGGCTCGTGAAGGATGCTGCTGGCTCTCTCCTGCCAGCGAGCCTTCGACACTTCAGATCGTCTCAAAGTGCACCTGGCCTGTCACGGGCGCCGTGGTGACGTCACCGTCACTTCGTGGCGAATGGGGGGTGGGGGGGTATTGGTATTGGTGCGTGAGAGGCTGTGTACCTGTGCGAGTGTGTGCGAGGGTTTGTGTGACTGTGTGTGCGTGTGTGATCATACGCGCTCCACACAGGAAGGAGTCGGGACTCGAACTCTGGAGGCTCTTGCTGTGAAGTGTTCTCGCTCTGTGCTGCACGTGCGTGCGTTCTCGTGATGACGCGGGTCATTCACGCGAGTAACACTCTCCCTGCTCTCTGGGTGGTCACCCATCCAGGTGCCCACACGGCTCAATCCCTCTGCTTACATTCGGAGCCCTCACGGAACTGAGCACTCGAGGTGCATTGTTCATTGGTCACTTTGAGGATTGCCGTGTGCGCGTATAAGTGTGTGTGCGTTCGTATGGCCGCGCGTGTGAATGCATGCGTGTGTGCGTGTGTTTGTGGCCGACGTGTGTAGACTGTGTGTGTTTTGTGAAATTAATGTGTGTGTGTTTACGGGTATGTGGATATTGTGTGATTGCACGTGCGTCTTTGTGTGCATTTGTGTGTGTGGTTGCATGTAAATACTTAAGACACGTACGTGGTTAGAGTGGTTGGCTACGTACATACATGCAACATACAGAGTAAATACGATTAGCTCGTCGTATGTATGCATCTATGCGTATATTGGTGCATGCGTATATGTGTCTGTGTGTATATGGGTTTGCACATGTGAGCATGTGTGTTATGAGTGCGTGTGTCTATATGCCTCGATAGGTGCTCGCTAACAGCACTTGCACCCCACCAGTGTGTAGGCTACGTGGGGGAGCTTTGTCTTGTGTATGTGCGTGTGTGTGTGTGCGCGTGTGTGCGTGTGTGTGTGCGTGCGCTTGTGTGCGTGTGCGCGCTGTTCGGCTTACATTGTCAGGTAGCCTTGGACCTTGAGAGGAGGAGGACGAGGGTTCATTGTCACCGCAGCAGCAACAGCAGCCGGGGAGAGGGACACGGGGCGGGGCGGGGGTCACGTGGTTAGATTCCATCCATCAACAATCGCTCGCTCAGAAACACTGAACCCGCAACGCACTCTGAGGGCCTGGGTTCGAGCCCTAGGTCTGGGTGTTTTTTTTTCTCTCTCGCCTGGGTTCGAGCCCTAGGTCTGGGTGTTCTTCTCTCTCTTGCAGTGGGGTTCGTAATGGGCTTGTCAGAGACACTGAGCCAGCAGCACTGAGGGCCTGGATTCGAGCCCTGGGTCTGAGTGTATCGCTCTCTCTCTCAGAAGGGTTCATAATGGCCATGTTAGAAACACTGCCATCCTGCGTTTGAGTCCGGGTTGATGGAAACAAGTCCTCGTGCGTGGCGAGGTGATTGACTCTGCCTGGTCACCAATGACTGCGCACAAAAGAAGAATCCACGATGTAAAATGTGGTTTGTAACTATATTTGAGTAAATTCCCACTCGGAGAATGAAACAGTTCACGCTCACGCGTGGGAAGTGAAACTGTCGACGCTAAACCAGTAACCCTTTCCAAATTCGGTTAGAGGTTTCCGAAAGTCAGCAGCCAGGAACGGATTCCGGTGGAAACATTCACACCCTCATAAACCAAGACCCCGCTGTAGCAACTACCGCGCGCCGGGAGACGGAGTCGAACCGGTGACCTCTGCGTTGCGAGCCCAGTGCCGCCGCTGTTCGTTACGCCACCGTTGTGGCAGCAGCTGCCTCTGTTTCCCGGTTAACAACAAAAACGCAGGCCGCGTGTAGGCCTCGGCAAGGTAAGGTAAAAGGAAAAAACAACGAGCCTACCTTTACCCTACCTTTTACCTTACCACAATACAATCACTCTACCCTACCTTTTACCCTTTAGCAGGTAAGGTAAAAGGTTAAAAGCAACGAGCCTACCTTTACCCTACTTTTTACCTTACCACAATACAATCACTCTACCCTACCTTTTACCCTTCAGTAGGTAAGGTAAAAGGTTAAAAGCAACGAGCCTACCTTTACCCTACCTTTTACCCTTACCCCATACAATTTACCCGATTACAGGGTAATTAATGCGGTACCACACATGAAAAAGGTTTATAACAGGTAAATGCTAGGTAAAGTGCTTTATTCATCTATAGAATACTCTCGATTATTCCAATTTTACAGGCTTTCTTTAAACTCACTGTCTGCTGTTGTCGTTGTTGTATCCTCAAATCTTGTAACTCAATTTTAACCCACTTCCCAATGTGGTTTCGACTGCGAACTTGGTATACTTATGTCATACTGATGACAATACTATATTCTATCATTAAAAATAAAATAAAAAATATTTTTCAACATTATTTTTTATATGTTATGTTTCGGCTTGGGTCTAATTATCCACTGTCAACTGACGTTGGCTGTAATTGCCCACGGCCCCGTGCGTTGTGGCAAGCTTCGGGGCCACTACCTGGAGTCGTGGAGTTCTGTCATTACTCGTAGATTTCATAACAGCGTGTTTTTAAAAAAGTTTTTTTTTTAATATTACTTATTAAATGGAGGCCACGGACTGCGCCACTGAGCTTTTAGCGGTAAACAAGGCACCGTATTTACCGGGTAACACTTCGCGCTACCTTTACCCTACCGGGTAATTCTTCCGAGCTACCTTTACCCTACCCTTTACCTTACCCCTTGGCATGTCGACACCTTTACCCTTTAACCTTTACCCTTTTACCCGGTAAAAAAGGTAAATTACCTTACCTTGCCGATGCCTAGTCGCGTGTAACGCCGTGTCTAGCTATGTATAGCAAACCGGGACCCATTTTTTTACCGTTTTATTATTCATGCGATTACCGGTTACGCAATACAACGAATTGAATGTTATTTGTGCGATGCCATAAATTGTTGCTTGATTTTTACTTGTTTAGGCCATTCTCTGCGACAGTGGAGTACACTGCTCACTGCAGTTCCAATTGAAAATGTCTTCATCTTATGGCACAATGTGCAATCTCTTTGTGTCGGAAAACCCCAAAATATATATAACAAAAACTCACTTAGGGTGTAGTGGTTAGCGCGTAGCACTACGAACCCGGCGACCCGAGTTCAATTCCCAGCCGCAGTCGGTCCAACTTTACCCACCCGCACTGACCAGCGAGGTGAAGTATGGTCAAACAACCCCCACGACTAGCACAGCGTGGAGAGGAAGGCCTTCATCCAGCAGTGCACTGAGAGACATACAGTGATGAATAGTATGATGAGTCGTATGATGAGTCGTATGCGTCTTCAAACCGATGGAAGCTGCCGTTAGTTTACGAAAATATACTTGAGAAAAGTGCTCAACACATTCGTATATTGCTCACAATGCAATATGCGGGTGCATAGTACGGTCCAATGTTAAGTCACCCACTCCTCCCTCTCTCTCTACGCTTGCAGGGCCCCGTGGTGCGCATGGTGTGGGCGATGCTGCACACTCCAACGACAGCCACTAGAGAGTCTGGGCTCGATCCCTGACTCGGCTGCTCTGCCGAGCGGAGTTTGCACGATCTCCCCCTGTTCTGCACGAGTCTCCTCCGGGTTTTTGTCGGTTTCTTCCCGTCGCTTATAATACACAGACAGTGCAACTGGTATAGGCCAAAACATCCCAATGTTGAAACACAAATCACTCGGTTGGGTCATACAGCAGCCGCAGCATCGCTCCTCGACTGTGGAAACCTGCCAGGACTCTCCTGAAAACGAATATTGAGACTCTGCGAGGCTTTTTTGGGGTACAGGAGCGGAATCATAAATACATGTAATTCTCTCTCTCTCTCTTATCTATCGACGTGCCATGAAGAAGGGCCATGGCCAGAAACGTTGCCAATGTTGTACTTGTGTATTAGTGGACAGGTCGCTTCCGAAAACAAGCTTATAGCTCATTGGGCCTTACTCTGGTAAGAAAAAACATAGTTTAGTTTTATTTATATATATTTTTAGATAATTTGTTCACTCTTCCTACGCTTTGTGCTCCTATTGTATTGTTGTATTATTTCTCATTGTAACGTTCTGACTCGCCCCGACTAGACATCTTTGAGAGAAAAAGCTTTATAGCTCATCGGATTCCTCCTCCAGTATAAATAAATATTCTCATCGCCACCTTTTTTTTTTCGACGTAGAATTGTAATGTATAACGACTTATTGTTAGTAGCTCAGCTGATTGGAGAGTATATTGAGATTATTGATAACATTGATGTAGTTTATATTTTAGTTTTTTATCAGTTTCATAATAAAGGTTTTTGGGTTAGATCGCGTTTATTTATAAATGTGTCGTAACCCTCCACCACCCGACACGGCCAATCAGCAAAAAAAGTGTCACGTTGACAAAAGACAAATAATGTACTACTTTAGCCTACCGGTGTGTTGAAGAGTGAATCCACATTTACAGTTTGAGTACGACGTTTCGCTGGTAAATACATCCAGCATCATCGGGCAATTCGCCAGAATGGTAAAGCCCTCGCTTGCTCCCGGTTTTATATAGAGCAGCAGGGTGACGTCATCACTTAACTCATATCAGGTGCAGTGATTAGAGGCGGAGGGGGGGTATTGTAATTATATAATCGATTAGTAATCAGTCATTGGTTATGATTAGTAATGAGTTGTAGATTAGTAATTCTTTAAATCAAAATGTAATGTGTATTATTTAATAATACGCTTCCAGGCCGCACTAAGCCTGTAGCTGTCAGAGCGATTAAAGTTATTCTTGTTCCTCTCAATTTCAATGGATTCTCTAATTAGTCTTTGCCAGTAATAATTAGTTTTACACACCACTGCAACATTGTCAAAATCAATTGAGTGTCCTTGTTGACAAGCATGTTCTGCCACTGCCGACAGTTGTGTTTGAGATAATTTAATATTTCTCTGATGTTCTTTTAGACTTACGCTGATGTTACGTCCCGTCTGTCCAATGTAGCAACTGCCATATAAACAGTTAATCCGCTATACACCTTCTGTTGATAATTTAGGTAATGCGTCTTTAGTGCAAGATACTAGTTTTTGAATTTTGTGTACTGTACCAAATCTTACTGTAATGTTTTGCTTTTGCAAAACACGGGCTAATTTGTCAGTTACTCCTGAGATATATGGAGTAACTGACAAATTAGCCCGTGTTTTGCAAAAGCAAAACATTACAGTAAGAATTGGTACAGTACACAAAATTCAAAAACTAGTATCTTGCACTAAAGACGCATTACCTAAATTATCAACAGAAGGTGTATATCGGATTAACTGTTTATGTGGCAGTTGCTACATTGGACAGACGGGACGTAACATCAGCGTAAGACTAAAAGAACATCAGAGAAATATTAAATTATCTCAAACACAACTGTCGGCAGTGACAGAACATGCTTGTCAACAAGGACACTCAATTGATTTTGACAATGTTGCAGTGGTGTGTAAAACTAATTATTACTGGCAAAGACTAATTAGAGAATCCATTGAAATTGAGAGGAACAAGAATAACTTTAATCGCTCTGACAGCTACAGGCTTAGTGCAGCCTGGAAGCGTATTATTAAATAATACACATTACATTTTGATTTAAAGAATTACTAATCTACAACTCATTACTAATCATAACCAATGACTGATTACTAATCGATTATATAATTACAATACCCCCCCCCTCCGCCTCTAATCACTGCACCTGATATGAGTTAAGTGATGACGTCACCCTGCTGCTCTATATAAAACCGGGAGCAAGCGAGGGCTTTACCATTCTGGCGAATTGCCCGATGATGCTGGATGTATTTACCAGCGAAACGTCGTACTCAAACTGTAAATGTGGATTCACTCTTCAACACACTGGTGGGCTAAAGTAGTGAATTATTTGTCTTTTGTCAACGTGACACTTTTTTTGCTGATTGGCCGTGTCGGGTGGTGGAGGGTTACGACACATTTATAAATAAACGCGATCTAACCCAAAATCTTTATTATGAATAATATTGGTCGCGAAAGCCTACATGTTAAACTTTTTATCAGTTTGCTATATGGTATTCATTATAGTGTAGTGTATACCCAGTTACTTTATGTTAATAGCTCAACTTAATGAAGAATATATTGAGTACATTTATTATATTTCGATTTAAAGCTTTCGTAACTGCAAGGATTCATCTTCTTTAGTTCTTTCGGTAAAGTCACGTAGAATGAGAATAAAATAATAAATTGATCAAATAAAATAACACAATAAAAATTATCACGATGTTTCGGCCACAACACAAGCGGCTTTCATCAGGTGAAGGGACGAGACTGTCTGGAGGACAGCGCTGGAGCGAACACAAATGAAACAGGAGAATTTAGGAAATAACTGAGGGATTAGCTTGTGACTGGTCATAGAAATAGTTATGTTAAAGTCAAAGCCTACACATCTACAGAGGCACCTAGTACAAATCAAACAGGAGAATTTAGCATTGAAATAGCTGAGTGATTAGCTTGTGACTGGTCACAGAAATGGCTATGTTAAAGTCAAAGCCTACACATCTAGCTCAGCTATTTCAATGCTAAATTCTCCTGTTTGATTTGTACTAGGTGCCTCTGTAGATGTGTAGGCTTTGACTTTAACATAACTATTTCTATGACCAGTCACAAGCTAATCCCTCAGTTATTTCAATGCTAAATTCTCCTGTTTGATTTGTACTAGGTGCATCTGTGGATGTGGATGCTTTGACTTTAACATAGCCATTTCTGTGACCAGTCACAAGCTAATCACTCAGCTATTTCAATGCTAAATTCTATGCTAATTCCTTTGTCAAGGGGTGCCTCTGTGGATATGTATGCTTTGACTTTAACATAGCCATTTCTGTGACC